GTCAAGGGAGAGGGAGAAAAGGATTTAGGGAAAGAAAGATACAACCGTGGGCTCGAACACATCCTGCAGCTGACGGGTACTATATTGCTCTCTCCAAGGGACTTCAAACCACGAGCCCGGACTCATCCTGCGGCTGGTGGAAACTCCGATTCACTCTCATAAGAATCTCACACAAGTTTTCTCCAAAGAACACAAGTGCAAACAAAATTTATTTTCTTAATAATTCATCATTGATCTAATACAAGAGCAAGAGCCTCTATATATAGGCTTTAAAAGAAATTATAAGACAACTTTGCCCCTTGGGCTTACATAAGACAAGACTCTTAAATAAGGGTAAAAATGAGAAATGCAAAATTAAATCAAAATACAATTAATAAATTAAGATAAAAAAAAGGAGTGATCTAAGCCGTCGATCTTCGTCTCTTCCTTTGATTAACGTCCATGGTTGGATGTCCGCATCATATACCCTTAAACTTCTTTAGAAAGTGTTTCGCATGAAAATTTTCACATTGTTCTTCATTTTGACCTTTTTTTGGTGATGATCAATGTTTAAAATTGTGTATTCGGGTATTGAGGCGTTTTTCATTCGTGAGGCGAGGCGTAAGCCTCAAGGCGTTTTGAGGCGCGCCGTAAGCCTCAAGGCGTAAGCCTCAAAATCAAAAGATTGTGTAAACATAAAATGATAATTTTTTATATACTAATGAGTGAATAATATAAAACATAAAAAAAACATAAGATATTAAGTGAAATCAAAATATCTCAATAATAAGACAACATTTTTTTTCTATTTGAACTTAATCAAATACAATAATAAGACAACATGAAATATAGTTCAACTCAAAATTTTATCTTTTCCAAATCCCAGTATTCTTTTCGTTAACATATAATTCCAATTTCCAAAAATAAATAGCAATGGCATATCACATAAGAACTCATAAGTCATCAGCACTGTCATCACTAAGGGGTTCTTCATTTGAATCGTCATTATGGTGAACTGCTCTCTCCCCTTCCTCCTCTCCTATAGAGTCCAATGTCGGGCATTTACTTCAAGATTTATGTAAGTTTTAATATATATAGCGTGAGGCTTAAGCCTCATGCCAGTGAGGCGAAGCGGGCCTCAAGGCGGACCTCAACCAATTTGAGGCGCAAGCCTCATAAAAAAACTCAAGGCGTAAGCATCGAGGCGTTTTTTACTGGAATTGCGCAAAGGCGGGCCTCAAGGCGAGCCTCATATTGCGCAATTTTAAACCATGGTGATGATCACCACAATAAAGGTTGGATCTAAAAGATGATTGTGTAGACTTACTTTTTGAGAATTCTTTATTGATTTTTTCCTTCCCATTGAGATTTGAAGAGCCTTCTTATAGGTTCCGTACCTTTACTTGCTTTTTTTTGTAAAGGAGATACTAGTCAGGGAGAAGTCCATTGCATGTTATTATTTCAAAAAACTCATTTCTTACAACAATCAACAAAATATGTTAGATATATAAAATTGATCTAGGGGAGGATAAAAGGGACGATGTCTGTTAGAAATGCACTAGTAATTAGGGAGATTACAACAATGACGATCTAGTAAATTAGGGAATAATGTAATAAACAAGTACATATTATTCAAAAAATGATGCAAACAACAAAGAAGAAAATAAATAACCAAGTATAGACAATGAGAGATTTCTAAGTTAGGTACTAGTGCGGAAGAAGTCCACTGCATGCTCTTATTTCAATCAACTCATTTCTTACAACAATAAAAAAAATAGACCAGATAAGTAAGATCTTGAAATACACAATCAGCTAAGGAGATTATAACAGTAATGACCTTGTAAATTATGGAAGAATATAACAAACAAATACATAATATTCTAAAAGTGATGCAAACAACAAAGAAGAAATCAAATAGCAACAACTAATTGACAATGAGACACTTTCAAATTAGGTCCTTCGAGTCACCTGACACATTGGAGAAAGGTGGGACAACTGGAGTGAATATGCAGCATTACATAGAGAGCACACTTGAGGGATGATTGCAGGAGGAACCATTCAACACTCTTTCTCAAGCATACTATACACATAAAACAATACAAGTTGGACATCAATTTCTAAAAGATTGGTCTTGACAGACCCTTGGTTAGAATATCACATTTTCCTCCGTGGATATAACATAGGGAATGTAGACAGAACCAACTTCGAATTTTTTTAAAATGATGGTCAACCTCAACATATTTAGTTCAATTGTGGTGAATAGGATTCTGAGCTATATTAATAGCAGCTTTATTATCACAACATAATTTTAATGTTCTTTTTATGAGATGTTCGAGTTCCTCCAATGGTAATTTAGCCAAAGGAATTCACTAACTCCATTGGCCAAGGATTTGATTCAACTTCAATGCTAATCCATGCAACAACATGTTATTTTTTTGCTCTTTCGGTTCTCTAAATTGACCCAAAAGAGCAATACCCTTATCGAGCAATACCCTTATGTGGATCTTCTGTTAACCATATAACCAACCAAGTTAGCATCAATATATGGTTCGATTTCTCGTGGCTCTCTTTTATTGAAGAATGAATATCTCCTTGGGTTCCTTATCATGTATTTCATGATGCGTGATGTTCCTTGTGGAGAGTATGCATGAAATGACTAACCTTGCTGACAACAAAAGTACTTGAGCTTTGATCACTTAATTTAACACTAGGATTTGATGGAGTATCCCCTATTTCACACCCAAGAAGATTTCTTTTCTTCAGAAGGTTAAGAATCTATTTTCTATTAGAAATAACGATCCCAAATCTATTTCTAGCGAGTAGCAACTTCCATACCCAGAAAATGTTTAAAAACCCCAAGATCCCTTATTTCTAGCACCATTGCCAACCCCTTTTCTAATGAAATCAGAATTTTTTTTTTATTAGGATAATGCCATCCATATGTACAGTTAGTGTAGTTGACTTATCTCCATAATGTTTGTAGAATAAACTATGGTCAGCATGTGCTTGCTTTTATCCTCGTTGATAAACATATTTAGTGAATTGTTCAACATTCAAACCAATTTCTTGGGAGATTTTTGGAGAATATAAATAACTTTTTTTTTAATTTGCACACTTTATTTGTTGAGTTAGCACTCATGAAACTTAGTGGAAGATCTATGTAGACTTCTTTTAAATAAAAATAAGTCTCCATTATGAAAGGCTTTCCTGATATCCAGTTGATGAAGATGCCAGCCAATTCGAGTTGCCATGGAGAGCAGAACACAAATTTAATTAAGCTTGGCAAATGGTGCAAACATCCCTTGATAGTCCTTATTGAGGGCCATACTGATGGTCATCTGCAACCGTCCATTTGATCCTTTATATTATAATGTTTTTCCTTTTGGTTTATGACACTAACTTATCAAATAAATTGACCGAGTTTAGAAAAAAAGATTTGTGTGCGATGAGAATTAAATGCTGAACAGAAAAACGCTTTATATTAGCAATACATGCGTGTGAGATGAGGATGGATATGTGTGAATGTGCTTTTATGCGTCAATATAATTAATTTGCGCCGATTATTTTTTTATGCTAAAATGAAGAGTAGAACACCTCTCCTTTGTGGACCAGGCTAATCTTTCCGTTGTGCCTTTTGAGTTTTGATCGAGTAACTTTTCCTATTATTACATAAATTCAAAGTAAAGCCAGTATTTATGATTATATTATCCTTTTTTTTAATGAGCCTATAAATCTTATTGAAATAATGCCCACTTCTTGGGGCTTTTGGCACAATATGAAATAGGATAATGGAAGAACGCAAACTGAGAGATGCCTATCATTTCAGGCTTATGAAATTAAGTTGGCTTGGGATAAAGTAGTAGCCAGTCCTAACGTTACAAATTTACAATATCCTACGTTTCTATGGTCTTTTCTATTAGGGATTCAGGGTACCTTCTGGGCTGCACTTGCTGCCCTTTGATATCTGAAGTACTTTAAATCCATGAGTTGCAATGTAACCTAGGTGGTGTATCACTTGCGCTTTTGCACTGGTGATATCTCGAGTACTTATTTTAGAGTGGGTGGCAACTAGCTAAGTCGGTAAAATTTTTATTAGTTGCCAGGGTTTTGTGATCGAATTCTTCTTATATCAAAATTCTGCTTTGGCATTTCAAGTTTTCCCTAAAAAATTGAGTACATATATTATATGTTAAATGTCATTCTGTGAAGTTCTGTTGTTATATGTTTGAAATTCTTAAGAGTACTTCTATTAGAGTAGGTGCAAGTAGCTTAGTTGATAAGATTCTTAGGCTTCGTTTGGAATGGCTTACTTATTGCTTCTTAAAGCAGTTTTCTAATATAAAAATTGAAATTTTTTACTAAAAAATTGCTTTAAAAAACAGTAAAAAAGTCGTCCCAAACTAAACTTTAGTGATCGAATGGCTTTTACAACAAAATTTTGCTTCAGCATTCAAACTTTCTCAACCAAATTGAGTACTTCTATCAGATGGTAAATGTCATTATGTGAAGGTCTGTTATTATATGTTAAGAAGTTCTTAGAATACTTTTATTAGAGTGTATGCCTAGTAGTTTAGTTGATAAAATTCTCAGGAAGTCACTAGGTTTATGTGATCAAATGCTTCTTATATCAAATCTCTGCCCTGACATTCAATCTTTTCTAAAAAGAAACAGAGTACTACTTCTATTATATTTTAAAATGTCATTGTCTGAAGGTCTATTGAGTACCGTAGTATGTGCCAATAGCTTAGTTGACATTCTTAGAAGTTGCTAAGTTCTTGTATCAAATTTCTTCATAGGCTTCGTTTGGGACGGCTTTCTTAATGTTTCTTAAAGTAGTTTTATAGTAAAAAATTTTAATTTTTGTACTCCAAAGTTGCTTTAAGAACCAGTAAGAAAGTTGTCCCAAACAAAGTCATAGTTTTCCTAAGAAATTTTGTGCTTCTATTAGATGTTAAAATGTCATTTCTGTGAAGGTCTGTTAATCTCTTTTGTCTGAAGTGCTGTTGAATTTGCCAATACAGTGCAAGGTGTGCATGCAAACATTTATGTGCACCACATCAGAATCAAAATGCAGGGAACATGCTGAAGCAAAGCACCCTAAAGGAGATGTCTACCAGTGCTTCCCTCATCTCAAGAACTAGCTGCATGCATTGCTACAAATGAAGAAGCCATGTTCACTGTGGAAGGTGCTCTGCAACTATTTTTAATTTGGATATGTTTTTTAGTTAAGGCTTTGTTTGATTTGACTCTTTGGATGCATCCCATTGCTGTGATGGAATTGCCATTATCTACTAAATGAAATGAAGCTTTTTAACCAAAAAAAGAAAAGATTTTTATGGGTATGCCAATATATTTATATTTCTTGGATCTTATCCCACTTAAAAAGTCCTAGGGCTTGAAAGGGCGAAATTTCAGTAGTATTGCTTTTGAGTAGTATATTGAACTATTGAATGACTATCAAATTGATTTTGATCAATAAAGTTTTGGTTTGTACGGCTTTCTTACTGCTTCTTAAAATATTTGTTTTGTACAACAATTTTATTTTTATACTAAAAAACCGCTTTAAGAAGCAGCAAGAAAGTCGTCTCAAACGCAACCTAGGGTTTCGTTTGAGATAGCTTTCTTATAATTTTTTGTAATAGTTTTTTAGTACAAAATTTCTTAAAAATAGTAAAAAAATAGTTGTTAAAAGTTGCACCTAAATGAAGCCTGAGTATTAAAATAAAAACAAGAGGAAATAGGATGGATGAATAATTTTACAAAATATAATTATCATGGTAATTAGATTACATTGAAATGTTGTGACATGAGCCTTCACTTTTTACTGTGAAGGCTAATTTTTAACTATTTAATTATTTTAAAGATTACTATTAATATAAAAAACTGAAATACTAAAATATTTTGATTTTTTTGGGTGAAAACATTAAAATTATTATAAAAGCTGGCTTGTTTTTTGTGTGCTAACGAAGGCGAGACATATGTGTCAAAGTAATTAGTGTTTTGCTAAAATAACAAAGATACACTTTAAATATAATTTTTTTTTAAATTAACTAAAATTTAATGTATTTTTTAAACATATTAAATTAAAAAAATTACAAAAAAATTGATGTATAAATGTTTTTGTGATTTAGATGATTTTTTTATTGCTTCTTAAAGCGATTTTTAATAAAAAAAATTAATTTTTTACTAAAAAGTTTTTTTATTAAATTAAAAAAATTACAAAAAAATTGATGTATAATTTTTTTTGTGGTTTAGATGATTTTTTTATTGCTTCTTAAAGTGATTTTTAATAAAAAAAATTAATTTTTTTATTAAAAAGTTTTTTTAAGAAGTAATAAAAAAATAGTCTCAATCAGAGCCTTAGTTAAAATGTTCGACTGAATTTTTTAAGCAAAAGAGAGTTGTTAGGAAATAAATAAGAATATATTTTGAGTTGCTATGAGCTTATTATAGAACTAACATTTTCTATTTTTCTATTTTTATATTTTTGGATCATTGAGTTTAACATTGTTGCGGGCTAGAAATTATGCGGCGATAGAGATTTGATTCTACATCTTAGCGTTGTACGTATAACTAGCACACACAGAGAACACAAGATTTTTTTTAATTTTTTTTTAATTTTTTTTTTATTTTTTTTTTATTTTTTTAAATTTGAGATATAAATTTTTCTATATCCCTCTTTGAATAAATATTATTGATATTCAAATTTATACAAACCCTTGGGAAAGCTTTAAAATTGTTAGCAAAGTGGGCAATCCCATTTTCTATCCATGATCTGGATGCTGGGAAATCTTAGCTCACCTTTTTTAGGGTTTGTATTCAAGTTTAAAATTCCTTCCACTTTTATAAATAGTATTTATAAACCTCTATGGAAAGACCCAAGTCCTCAAGGTTTTAAATGACAAGATGCTAAGTATTTGCTTAAATTATATATCTTTTGCTCATTCCTCCCCATACCACCCCAATACACCTTCTATGACACCCCTTCCTATCTCTTAATGGAGGAAGTAGAAGAAAAATATATAATAGATCCAAGAGGAAGCCATTTGTTAACCTCCTCCAGCTACAAATCTCGTTCTCAATTCTTACATTATGATCATGTAGTAAACTAATTAAATTAAAAAAAAAAAATCAGAACCCTACACCAGTTCTTCTCAAAACCCCCATAATTTTAAATTATTGAGCTCTCTTATATCTTGCCCATGATAAGGTTTTTCCCTTATCCATAGATTCAACAACCAATAGTTTTTTTTCCTCAGCTTTCTTTATTTTTTATGCTATAAATAGTAAATAGGAAAAACCCAACCTCCAACCCAAAAATAAGTTCCATCATCTTCTTTTCATTACTAGCCTTATAAAATGTTTATGGGTTCCATGGATTGGATAGAGTCCTCCATTATAGGTATGTTATATAATCTCATAACATAAATCCTCTCTAAATGCTTGAAACCAAAATCAATCATTCTCTCCTTCATGGCCCGTTATTTGTAGATACCCATGAAATTTTTACCTCTAAAGAGAGTTATGATAACTTTCGTATCTCCTCCTTTGGGTGAATTTAGAAGAAGTAAAATTATCTGTAATATTCTTTTTCCTACTTTTTAACTATATCAAGTATTATAACTCCCTAAAAAAAAAGTGTTATAACTCCTTGGTTTTTAAGTTATATGTTGTCTATTTAGCTTGTTCTCATTTTGATATAACCAAGTTGTATAACTTAATATGTCACATTATTGTTAATACTAATAGCTCTTGGATTATTCTGATTTATTTCAATTATTATAGATTTCATACTAATAAAATTGATAGCAATCATATAAGTTTTATGATTGGAATTTGATGAGGACCTTTGTAATGATTTTTTTTCCTCAGTCAAAATCTTATCTACCCAGAAAGAAGAAATCATGAAATAATTATTATATACTTATTTAAAGATAATTTAACACTAAAAAATAAAAATTAATTCCCAAAATCAAAGTTCCAAATTTAACAAGAAATCTTAAATGCACTCAGAAAAGAAGTTAAGTAATTAGTTATTTCTAATCTCCACCACAAATATTAAATACATCAATTATCATCTTTATCATCAAATGTGTCAACATTTTGGGTTAAGCGAATGATCATGCTTTAGGGTCGTGACAATAGTCATAGATAATTAAGGGGTGCTACACCCATTGCATGTCTTGATGTTAAATCCATTTGAGTTTGAATCCCACATGATAAGAGGCCTATGATTGGAAAATCAATGGTGAGTTGGTGCTGCAGTCATGGGTGGTGAAGTGGGTGAAGCATGTAATAAAGGGATAGAAGTATTAGTTGAACATATACCTGCCATCTTTTATTGCCTATGAAGTGCATCCAAGATCAATAAAGAGTTTAGTTTTTAAGAGATAGATGAGGAAAGTGTCATGGAAATTTAGGAAGTTCTTGAATTCATGGATATAACTGATCTTCTAAGTACAATTATAAGAGGTCAGTGTCAAGTGTGATCTTATTGGTTTTTGGGTGTGGTTCCTTTTTCATATATATGGACATAAGCCCTTTATTTGCTAATCTCTTGATTATCATAATACTAATGGATGATAGGAACATCTTGTGGTGGTTTTGGGACTAGATTTGGTATTAAATTGAGATCCATGATAATTATAATATTAGTGGTAAAGTATACATTTAGACAATCTAAATATGCATTTAAGGTAGAATTTTCTTCAATAGCTAGAGGAGTTTCTAAGACATTTGGGAGGTTTATATTGAAAAATTCTTTTATTTTTTGGATTGTAAATGACTATTAGCCTTAGGAGTGCATGGGATGGGGTTTCTCATGAGAAATAGAATATAAAAGGCCTCTTACTTTGATTTCAACTCTTATGTCTCTCTTTAAGGAGATTGGTGTATGTATATGAGCTATTTGTATCCTAGATCATTTCGGGATAGGGTTGTGCATCATAACATAATGAATTTTATTAGCGACAAGATGAAGGCTTCCATTCATATTATACTCCTTACATAAAATTGGTGTCATTAATATTTCATGGTATGGATGGAAGATTGTAATACAAAAGTAGGTTTCATAAACTCACATATCTTGACAAAGGTTTGTTTAGCTTTGGTGAGCACCAAATTATCAATAGAGAGAAGAACACAAATATGACTCACCACTTTGAAAATGCCCTTTAAGTTCAAAAAATAAAGGAATAAGTTTAGAAATTTCACCCAAAGAGATATTTCATCAAAATCATACGTGGTTTAGGCTTCCAAGTCCATCTCTTGAGAATTAATTGTTTTCCACCGATGGACCCAAACTAGGCCATGTTAAAATATTCTCAATAAGAGAATAAAAATAATCACAAGTAATGTCAAGAGTTTAAGAGTACCTTTAACTTTCCATAACCCTTTCAAAGATGAAATAAATACTTCTTAGAATAGCCTTTTGCTGAGAACATAATCAACCAACAAAGATCTCAATCTTTGGATCCAAAATTTACTTCCTTCTATAAAAATAAAATTTCTTCATTATTGTTTTCAACATATGATGGTTCAAAGTTACATGATATGGAGTTTTATGATGGTAAGAGTTCTTTCAATGAAGAAACAACCTTATGGTAGGAACTAGGATTATATTAGGAAAAAAACATGTGTGTGTGGTTTAGTCCTAAGAAGGGAGGATTCTCCATTCTATGAGAGGAGGGAGGAGTTGATAGATTTTGAGTGTGAGATATAGGATTAGAGGAAAAATAAGATAGAGGAATCAATTTAAATGGTTTTTGTGATATTAGAAAAATATGAGAATGCAGTAGAATAGGGAGGAGTAAGATGGAGAGATAGAGAATCACTCTTGTAGTAGTCGGTGACAAAGGAGGAAGGAGAATCAAGTGAAGTTAGAGTAGAGATCTACCAAAAAAAGATGTAGAAAAATCTTTAATGAATTTTCCATAATTGCATTGGTTAGTGATTTAAATGTTAATGCAGTCTTTTGTATATTTTGTACTTTGATCATGCATAAATATGATTATGTATTAGGTTTTGTCAAAGGAACATGATGTTGAGTTTACACATTGATGTTGTCAAACATCAATGTTGGTGTTGAAACCATTAAATTATTAAATTTGATGTAAAGGTAATTGAAAGTATACTACACACCCAAAATATGAGTGAATTGGTATATCTTTTAAAAACTTTAATGTACGGAAGCCTTTAAAAATTAAAACATAAATTTTTTCTCATTTTCAAAATATTGAAAACAATATTACTTTTCTTAGGAATAATTAAAAAAACTTTTTAATTGAATCAACAAAATAATGGAACAAAAATAGTGATTGATACATTACTAAAAATTAACAATCAAGCATGAATCTTGATGCATTTTGAATTAATAAAAAATTCAAAAATAAATACCAGACTATTCAAACTCCAATTTGATCAAACTTATACTCAAACTAAGCATCTCGATGAGATAAATCCAACAACACAAAATAATGATCAAATTCGAGCCCAAATTAAGGTCCCAAAGCCAATTATAAACTTCAGGACTTTAATTTAACAACAAAATGTTCTCAAAATTTGGCATGCTTATAGTTAAATTGAGTAGCTCGATGAGACAAATCCAATAAGACTGAGATCACCTAATTTTGACATTATTAAGGCACTCAATTGTTGAAGAAATAATGTAATAGTGAGATTTAATACATGTTATGTGATGCAATACTGTGAATTTGCTTCAATTTTTCTCTATATTTATGGGGTATGCCACTCTCAAAATATATAAATAGCCCCCACCCTCCACATGAAGAGGTGGATGTGTTAGAGATTCAACAGAGCTCTAAGGCTTAAATAATTTTGGAGCTCCACTCAAGGACCACCATTGATGATCCCTCGACGACCACCTGACATCGTCAAACCTCTACCCAACTAATTATGCCTTAACCTCCCCAAATAGCTACTATTAGACATATGACCAATTGAAAGTCCTTTGAACCTCTGTCACCTTCACATACCACGGTCCTTGGACCATCATCACCCAACTATAGGCCTCTGACCACCATCACCTAACTAAAATTTTTTTATCATCATTGTTGAACTATAATCCTTTACCTCAGGCCACTATCTTTGCATGATAATAGCCCTTTCAACCTCTATCATCCATTGACCATGATTCTCAGTCCATCATTTCCCTACTACAACCCTTTGAGCATTGTATTGCAACTACTATCCTTAGAACCTAGAAATCGCCTAACTATGGTTCTTTTGACCTTATTCACTCGTCAACTACTATCATGTTACCTCCATCACCCACAAACTATGATCATCAAACTGCCATCGTCCTACTATGATACTCTAACCATCATCATGCACCCAACAATGATCTTTTTTGCATCTGTCACTAATTTATTATGGACCTCTGACCTCCATCACCCACCTACTATAATCCTCTGACTTGTAATATTTTAGATATTATCACATGGCTACTCCAATGCCTACTCGCTTCATTATCTTTCATTACTAATAATGATAGCACATGCTATCACTTACAAGATCAATGCATGCCACCAACATCTACTCTAACTCCTAATTCCAGCACTTGGTTTTATTACACAACAATGATAATATTTTTTTTAATAAGGCTAAGAGAAAAGTAAATTATTACAAGTCAAAATATTTTTCAAAGAACTCTAACAATGATTTCATTACATAGCATATAACAAAAAAAGTACAAGAAATTAAAAAAAAAGTTGGAATAGGCAAACCAAATTTATAGTGGTTCAATCAGCTTGAAATAAGTCCACTCTCTAAATCCTCCTTGGGAATTCTACTAGCACTCTCTTTTTCTACTCCCAATAAGATGGAGAAGCCTCTCTCCTTCACAGAGGAAACCTTCACATTTATTTTTTTCATTGAAAAGCCTTTAAATCCTGATCTCCTTGACTATGATCCAAAGTTTGTGTGTGTGTGCGCATGTGCATGCGCGCACTCGCGTGCAGTCATTGATTAATTAATTATGATTTTATGATTCCCTTCTAATGTGTTCAACATCACGTGATCTTTTTTTTTTCTGATTTATCTGAAATGCTAATTAAAATAAAAGAAGACCCATAGACATAAATTCATTAGCTTAATTAATACAACCAATAATACTTATAATTATCCAAATCATAGTCATCTCACTAGGCTCATGGGAGAAAATTCCTCCTTTAAGAAGATTCATGTCCACTAACTCTTTTACCTCCACTAGGAGCATAAAAATCACCAACAAGTTAACTAAAGATCATTTGAGCAAACATCACTACACAATCAAAGACTAGACAACAATAAAGAATCAAATAGTGATGTCAAATCCATTAAAAAAGGCAAATTTTGTGTAATAATTAAGCACACATTGTTTTGGGATAAAGTAAGATGCACAAAGAAGACTGGATGCCTTTGACCTAAAGTCATCCACAAATGATGGTCAATAGCTAAAATCATTTCCTCTTGACTACTTGTTAAGATATTGGCAAAGCAAGATTGAACAAAAGAATATGAGGAACAAACAAGAGATGGGGTATAGTCATCAACAAGGCGAATAAATCACATCAATTAACCTTAATAAAAGTAGTCAACCAAGGCATCAAACATGATGTGTTAAGACAATGGAGAAGTTGTTGGCAAAGATGCCGAAAGAGTCATCGGTGAAGCGAAGGGATAGCGGTTGACCACAACGCTCGAAGAAGTTGATGAAGAAGATAAGAAGTCAACTACCAAGATGATGCAGTAACTAAACATTGATCGAGTTCAAAGAAGAGGCTAACCACATAATTTAAACTAAATGTTACTTAAATCGAGCTTAAAATAGTATATTAAATAGATCTTATAAATATTTCTATTTTGAAATGCATTTCTTCATGAGGCACATTTAAATGTTTATTATAAATAGAAAATAAATTTAAAAAAAAAATTTCTACCCATAACATTTAGATTTTAAAGATAAACACTTTATGATTCTAAAAATATATATATATATATATATATCAATACAAATCGGATCAAAATATTTTACATAATTTTCTTTAGAATTTTTGTTCTAAACTTTTTTATTTATATTGAAATAATCATAAATAATCAATCCATTCATTTCAAACTATATTCAAGCTTTTTAAAACTTTTTTGACCGAATTTCTTTATGATATTCCCACAAAAATAACTTTTTCAATTAAGAATTCACTTTTTTTTTTCTTTTTTTGGATAAAACCCTCAGATGGGCCTCCGTGTTAATGTCAAAAATCAAATTAAGAATTCACTAAATCCTCTCAGATGGGCCTACGTGTTAATGTCAAAAATCAAATTAAGAATTCACTAAATCTGATATGAAATTTGATTTCTAACTGATTAGATGCTTAATTATTACTGACATTTTCCACTATATTTAAAAAATAAATTATTTAAAAATCATTTTCTTAAATATTGATTGTAATTGTATTCAATTTGACAAAAAAAAAAATCATTTAAAAAATTATGAAACTTAAAAATTAATATTAATATATTTACTAAATATAATTAAATGACCAGCAAAGGAGTTCTCTGCTAACAAAAATGGAAATTCTAGGGCTATCAAAATCGGGTCACGGATCGAGTTCGAGTCCAACCTAGAACTGGTCTGACACTATTCGGACCCAAACACGAACTGCTTTGGGTCCGAGTCAACCCGAACCCGACCTGCTTCAAATATGTTTTAATAATTTTTTTTTATTTAATTCGATTTATTTGAACTTAAATCGAATTAAGGTAAGATTTACTTCAATCAATTTAAAATAAACCAAACTTAATTTAGTTTGGGGAACATAATTTATAATTTTTTTGGAAATAACATTTACTTATTTCATAACAATCTTTTAAAACCCTCCAATATCAATTAAAGACGGATTAAACCGGATTGGTTTATTTCGGGTTTTCGGATCAACCTGAATTCGACCCAATTTTACAAACAGGTCGAAATCCCTAACACGAACCTGATCGTATTCGGATTCGTGTTGTGTCAAATACTGATCACCACTAGGAAATTCTTTGAACTGTTCTCATCAAAGATTGCTAAATTATTAATGGATTGAGTTTCCAGGAGCGAAAATGAAGTACCATAGCTTTGTCAACCATTTGAATAACTCGCTGACAGGAGATCGACCTTCACCTGTCTTCTTATTTTTTTATTATTTGATCACGAACAGATCATGACATGAAGGGCAAAGGACATGATTGAATCTCCGATCGAGCTCACGAGACGATCCAAATCGCTCAACAGAACAGAAAAAAAAAGACATCCAGAACATATCTGAATTATGTGTTCTCTGCCGATCGTGAACACATGAAATCTTTTTGGTTTTTTTTTAAGGCGATTCCACTAAATTACAAGTCCCTCAACTCCGTGTAGAGAGAGAGAGAGAAGAAGAAGATAAGAGAACGGAAGGAGGGGAAACGATCCATGACGAAATCATTCATCCTCGTCGGCATCGGCCGGATTCCCGAGAAAATGATCAAAATCTGGCGCAGAGATTGTAAGGCACCCAATCCAATACGGCCAAGCGGCGACGCTTCAGATCCCGCCGGCTGCTCAATGGCGGACATCGGGCGATCTCTCTATCAGTTCTCCGCAACATCTCCCACATCACGTGAACATCCTCGTATTCGCAGGTCCGCACCTCCTGCCTCAGCTTCCTCGGCCCTAAAAACCCCATTAAAAAAAAAAATCGCATCAAGATAAACCCGCCCTCCATAATCCACAATCACAGCAATTCCAAAACCCTAATAACGTCTTCGATTCGAGATTTTAATCTTATCACTTACCGTTCTTCTGTAAGCCGATGCGAGCAGCGATGCCGATCCAAACGCGTTTCAAAGGGAAAATCATCCGATCCCAGCACTCCATTGCTCGATTGCTTCGGGATCTTGGCCGATTCTGCTGATTCTAGATCCGGCGGAGGTCCGATGAAGAGGAGAAGAAGGAGAGAAAACTTATTAGCGAGAGGCCGATAGTGGAATCCTTTCTATGGCGTTTTGAGTCGGACTTTCCGTCGTGGGGGGTATATATAGTGTATAGAGGGAGGTCAACGAAAGGAGGTGGACATGGGAACCGGTGAAACCGCCACGTGGAGGTGGGGTTGGTTAGGGTGACGGGGACGCGTGACATAGGCCGATTGGAGAGGCAGACCAACCACGTGTCGATTTAAACGAAGCAGAGTAAAAAAGATAAAAAAAAAAAAAATCGATAATAAGGATGCTTAGTGATATAGATGAGACCTTAGAAAAAAATAATTGCAAAAGATTTAAGGCTTAAGCACTAATGAGATATCATAGCATATGATCTTAATACATTAAGCTTGTATAGTGTCAAGAATTCCCCTATGAGGAGAAACATTGGGAGGGTTTCTTGGTTGCCCTACGCTGTTCTTCGCTTGGTTTTGCTTTTCTTCTATCTTTTTGGTGGATTCTTTAAGAATTTTGTTGTTTGAGTAGAACTATTTTGTAAAAAAAAAAAGAGTAGAGCTATTTTGTTTTTCTTATGTTGTTTCATGAATTTTTTTTTTCATCGTCTAAAATCAGATTTGCATCATTGTCCGGTTTTGGGTTTTTCCCCATCGAGAATGAAAGCTTGGAATGGTTTATTGACATCTCGTCAATCTTCATCTAAACCTTTTTTTTATTTTGTGCCTTCCTCTGATAATATTGCTTCTTTCTACGAAAGTGATGTCTCTGTTGCATCTAAAAAATGGACCTAACGCTTGTAGGTTACTTGTTGGATAAGAGGCCTTACTTTGAAGTTTTAAAATCTATTATGCAAAAGGTTTGAAAATTGAAAGGTGGTTTTACTCTGCTTGCTTTGAATGTGGGTTTTTTTTTCTGATGAAGTTTTTTTGCTCGGAAGATTACGATTTTGTTTGGTTGGGTGGCCCTTAGTTTTTCTTTGGGAAACCATTTATTATCCAGAAATGATCGCCTCTTTTTCTTCCTAAACACGAAGAGTTTAGGTCCATTCATTTATGGGTCAAATTTCATGATCTGCCTTTAGTTTGCTGGACGCTGAAAGGCATTTCTAAAATTGCATGTCTGATTGGGGTTCTGATTGTGTTAATTCTTTAACAGCAGAGCAAACTAGGCTCACTTTTGTGAGGGTTCGTATTTTAGTTTCTAAGGATTCTAGTCTTCCTGATGAAGTTAATTTTTCAATTACTTGAAACATTTTTACTCTTAAAGTTTTTTATGATTGAAAGCCCACTCATTGTCAAGGTTGTGAATCTATTATTTATCCCTCAACATTGTGCCCTTCCCAGCCGCAGGAGGATAGTGAAAAGCCGGTTTATATTCATAAAACTATTAGGGGAAGAAGTAAAAACATGAAGGTTTGAAATTTTGCTTCACATTCTATAAGACATTCTTCTTTAAAAAATCCTCAGAATTTTTTTGGTTCAAAAGATGGATCAAAGCTTATCTGATCCTTCATTATTTTCTGATTCTTTATTAGTTTCTAACAAGGCATCTATTGCTGATATTAATGTTAATGCTTATTCATCTAAAGTTGTTAGTAGTTCTTCAAAGAATTTGATTCTTGATTCAGAAAATTTAAAGGTTGTTGATAATTTTGGAATTTTGGTGCTCCTCAAACGAGACATTGCCAAATTTAAAATTTCCTTCTGAAGAAGAGATTGCTTCAAATCTCAATTTAAATAATAATTCTGATGATTCTAAGGTTTTTTTTTATGATGAAATCTTCTGTTGATATTTCTGATTCTCATAATAAGTTTTAGGTGTTGAATTCTTTCAATAGTGATCTCTCCAAGTATGCGAATATTTCTTTACAGGGGTTTCCTTCCTCTGATATTTTTGTTACAGATCAATCTAGTTTTAAAGTTACAATTGCTACTAGTAAGTCTACTAGATCTAAAGCAGCCAGGAAGGCCTCTACTAGATCTATAACCTTTTTATTCTTCATTAAATTTTTTGCATTTCAATCCAATTATAAAAAATTTACGCAATTTTTTATAAAAGTAGAAAGTATAATCATACACTACACGAATTTAACACATTAAAACATTATCATTTGTTGAGCTAGAAAATTTATAGACCATTCTGTAAAATTTAGATGCCCCTTGATATGTAAATCTCTAATAAAAATATATAAAATTTTCTTCAAATTATTATTTGCATATAAAATTTCTTGAATGACTATTCGTTTTTGATTTCTTCATCATATTTTTTGCACAAAAAACTCATAAAAAAATTAGACACAGAATAAGATGTTACATAGGAGAAAGAATCATAAAATAAGATCGCTATCGTTCAAAGATAAGATTAAGGTGCATGAGTGACTTTACTCGTAGAGACAGGATACGAAACAAGCATATAGATGAAAATGTTGTAGTAGCTCTAATGGAGGATAAGATTAGAGAGAATCACCTTAGAAGATTTGGTCACATAAAACAACAGCCTTCCAATGACCCAGTTGAGAGAGTAAATATATCAGATTTATATTAATGTTAATAAAGGTTAAATGTAGACCTAGAAAGACTTGGTTAGCAAATATTAAAATAACTTTTCTTTATTAGATTTAAATGATAATTTGACTACTAATAGAATATAATAGAAAAAAAAGAGTGGAATAAATGTTTGACGCTGTACTCTTCATAGCAAAAAGTTTGTATTTGCTGACACTGGAAGGGAGAACCAGTCAGGGCAAGTGAGAGCTGACATTTTGCAACATGTCATGGATGGGATTATTTATTAGCTTATCCAAAAGCTTTTGCAAGACATATATGTATAAACAAAAGCTTTTCCTCCCGCCCCCGCCTCCTGCTGTCTTCTCTTACTCATCCTTCCCTCCGGCGTTGCCGGAGGGAACTTCTTTTCAACTTAACATGGACGCAGCTCTTCCTGCTTCGGAGTTCCCTCCCCTTGTCAAGTCTCCTGCTGGTCAGGTTAGTGAGATCGCCATGAGCTAGAATAAAGTTTTTGAGCCGGCAAAAACTTCTACAAACTCCTTCAGGTTTTCCCATTTCCCTTATGAACCGGACATCATTCCATTCTCTGGGGACAAGCTGTCCAATGGAGGTGAAGACTAGAAGCTCTGTCTGGTAGGTTACTCCATAGGGAGGCGCCCCTATTATGAAGCCTTGCTGACGGCCGTCAATAAGACGTGGAGCTTGAAAGGTTCTGTTCAGCTATTGTCCCTAAATGACGGATTTTTTCTCTTCCGGTTCTCTTGTGCAGAAGATTTTGAATCGGTCTGGACGAGAGGAGTTTGGTTCATTTTGGGGAAACCCTTTGTGCTCCAAAAGTGGCACCCCAAATTCATACCTAAAAGGGAAGATTTTGCGACGGTGCTAATCTGGGTGAAGATCCACGACCTTCCACTTGCATGCTGGAATTATGAGGGGATTTCCAGGATAGCTAGCAAAATTGGAGTTCCGGTAGCCGCTGATAGCTTGACGGAGCAGAAAACCAGATTAACTTTTGCCCGAATATGTGTTCTGGTAGATTGCAACGCTACCTACCCGGAGGAGATTCAAGTTTCGCTGGATGGGGAAGTGGTAGGCTTGAGAGTGCAATATGAGTGGCGCCCATTTCCTTATCAGCACTGTAAGTCTTTAATGCATTTCTCTGCTTCATGTCCGAAAAATCCAGAGATAGCTTATAATGACCAAGGCAAGGAAATAGGAAAGGAGGTTCAAAATAATAGGGGTCGGAGTGCTAGCCGTAGGCCATGGTCTCGGCCTCACTCTAAAACTAAATTTGTTTCGAAGTTGCCAGTTTCTAATATCAACCATCAGGACTCTGCTGTAGGCAATCCTCAAGTCACTTCTAAAATTCAAGACATTCAATCTATTATCATAGGTCAACCTCTTCAATACTAGCCGCATTCTCCTTCCCCTAACAAAACGCTCTCTCAGTCTGATGATATTGTTTTGGAGCCACCTAGGAGCGAAAATCTTGACATTGGTATCTCTTTTAATTTGGGTATCCCTAACTTAAATTCCCCCAATGCTACTACTTCATCTTCCTCCACTAATCTTCAATCTCAGTCCACGTCTTTAGGAAAGGACTTTGTTTCTCCTAACAAGTTTGACGTTTTAAACTTAGAAGGAGATGGCAGGGAACATGCGGTTCTTTCTGGTGATGCTATTGAGAATGCTGATTTGATTGTTGGAGTTGTTGAAAAGGAGAAAAACTTAAAATTGCTGATAAATCCAATCAGAATCACAACTACACCATGTCTAAAAAAACTGCAAGGGGGAAGCAAGGTAAAAAGCCCCAATCAAAGCAGAATTCTTGATGTATTTTCCACCTATGGTTGCGTGGAATATTAGAGGATTTAATCGCCCTAATAAAGTTTTATGCTGTAAGCATCTCATTGAGTCTTTTAAGCTCGACTTAGTCTGTATATTGGAGAACAGGATTCATCTTCATTCTCTTGATGACCCATTTTTTGAAAATGCTCATTCCCTTTTCTCAAATGAGGCCAGCTGCAACAATTTTGCTCTTTCCGCTTCGGGAAGGATATGGGTGAAGTGGAATGCTTCTAAACTGTCTTTCAATCCTGATGTCATTACTTCTCAATTGATTTCTGGCTTGATCTTAGTTGCTAATCAACCTCTCTTTCAGCTATCTGTTGTCTATGCTTCTAATAGTATGACTGACCGTAAAGATTTGTGGAACTCTCTATCTCAAGCTGCTCCTGAAAGTCATTTTCCCTAGGCTATTATCGGGGATTTCAATTGTTGTAGATTTGCTTCTGAAAAACTTGGAGGCACCATTCTTACTCAATCTGCTATGAAAGACTTTAATGATTGGATTTTTCAAAAAGGGCTGGTGGATCTTCACTCTGTTGGCTGCAAATTCACTTGGTACAATAAGCGTTTAGACAATCCTATTCACATTAAGCTAGACAGAGTGCTTGTGAATGATGGTTGGTTGAATCTTTTCTCTGATTCTTTCTGCTCCATTCAAAGCCCTTCATGCTCGGATCATTATCCAGTTATTTTACATTCTGGGAGCTCCACTTAGGTTTTCCACCGTTTTCTTTTCAAAAATTATTGGACCAAGATTGATAAGTATTGGTCTATGTTATTAGAGGTTTTCTCCAAGTCTTGTTCTGGCAATCCTCTATCTCACCTTTGTCACAATCTAAGGCAATTGAAATGTAGTATCAAAAAGGAAAATTGGGCCTCTTCTAGTAGTGTTACTAGGCACCTTGATTATTTACATAATAATCAAAGTTCTTTGCTAGAGCAATAGCTATTAGATCACAATAACTCAGACCTTAATATAGCCTACAAAAAATGTAATGCAGAGCTTGCTAATTTCACTAACCTTCAAGCTTCATGGATTATCCAACGGACAAAGGTTAATTGGCTTAAATGTGGGGGAGACGACCTAAAATTTCTATATGCCAAAATCAGGAGCCGTATGGGCAGGAAAAATTTGGTTATCAATCTTCTCTCTTGCAATCCTTCCTCCAATAGAACTGAAGTTGTCTCTTCTATCATTCAGTATTTCTAGGATTTATACAATCCCTCTCTCTTCCAAATTCTGGCGGTGGAGGATTTTCCCATTGGTGTTGTTGTCCCGGATTGCTACCATCATTCTCTTAGTTCCCCTGTGCTGGATGAGGAAATTAAGGCTGTGGTTTTTATGGGCTCATCCAATTCAGCTCCAGGCCCTGACGGATTTAATTTTTATTTTTTATAAGTCAAGTTGGCATATCATTGGGCCGGTTGTGTGTAGAGCTATTCAATCTTTCTTTTCCAAGTGTTATATGCCGAATGGAGTCAAAGCCACAGCTCTTGCTATCATCCCCAAACACAAAAATGATGTCAATATGTCTAATTATAGAACCATTGCTCTGTGTAATGTGGTGTATAAAATTATTGCTAAGGTTATTGCAGTTAGGCTTAAAGCGGTCATGAGCATCATTGTTAAAGATAATCAAGCTGGATTTCTCAAATCCAGAGTATCCACCGATAATATTCTGCTTGCTTCTGATATTCTGTTTCATGCGGGGAAAAGAGGTAGAGAGAAAATTTTTTGTGCAAAATTGGACATCAAAAAAGCTTTTGATTCCGTTTCTAGGGATTTCTTAATTGCTAGACTTATTCAGAAAGATTTCCCTAGTCGTTTTGTCAGCTGGGTTAAAGATTGCATATTTGATGTTAACTTCTCTGTCCTTCTTAATGGTGCTCTTGAGGGATTTTTCCCTTCTTCGACAGGCCTTAGGCAGGGTTGTCCCATGAGTCCATACCTTTTTTGTCTGGTCATGGATGCTTTTTCTAATCTCCTAGAGGATAGAGGTTTCAAGGAGATTTCTTTTAATGATACCTCTCTCACCCATTTGCTTTATGCAGACGATGTCTTCATTTTTGGTGAAGCCAGTTTAGAGAACTGCAACTTGTTGATTTCCATCTTTAGAGGTTTTGCTAGTGTTTCAGGTCTTCATGTCAATTATGATAAGAGTGCCATTATGTTGCCAAAACATCTGAACAATCAAAATGATATCTGCCAGGCACTTTCTATTCATAACATTGCTAGCAAAATCACATATTTGAGGATTCCTCTTTCTTTTCTCAGACTCAAAATTGAAGATTATCTGCCTTTAATGGACAGCCTTAACAAGAAGTTAGTGGTTGGAAAGCTAATCTTCTTTCACTTGCGGGCATATTACAATATCTGAAATTTACAATTGCATACTGGATCCGGGGAGCTATTTTGCCTAAAGTTGTGCACAAATTCTTCAAGAAAACCAGTTCTAGGTTTCTATTTTTTGGGGATATTAATTCTAATAAGAAATTGCATATGATTGCCTGGGATAAAGTTTGCTTGCCTTTCCCCAAAGGGGGATTGGGTATCTCTTCTATCTCTGCCTTGCAATTTTCTTACAACTGCTCAGTGATTTTAAGGATGTATAATTCCACCTCTCCCTTATCTGCCTGGTTGTTTTATAAATATAGCTCTCCTTGTAAACCTCCTCTAGCTGGTGCCTCCAAAATCTAGAAATCCAAATGCTTTATAACTAATCTGGCTAAACAATGCTTTAAGTTTAGAATTACTAGTTTTGCTCATATTTCCTTGAAATGGGATCACTGATATGATAAATGTAGCCTCATGGACCATTTTGGTAGTTTGTCTTCGACTCTTATTCTAGATATTGCTCTTAACAAAATCATTTTTGAGTGTGGTTGGGTTTTACCTGACTCTTTCCCCACCTGTTTGAGGGAAGTATTTGCGGGTATAAACGATATTGCTTGTGATGGCCCCTGTTTGCTATGGTATGATAAGGTGAAATGCAACTTTAAAAACTTTATGGAGGAATTTTATTATGAGATTTCTGGCTGCAGCTGGTATAAAATGGTATGGCACAAAAGAAATGCTATAAAATTCTCGGTGTATGCTTGGCTTGCTATTGCTGGGGGTCTCAAAACATCAGATGCACTTCGAATTAGGAATATTCATGTCCCGAGCATATGCTGTCTTTGCAACAATTATGACGAAACGGTTTCTCATCTATTCTTTGAATGCTCTTATTCATTCTCTATCCTGACAAGATTATTTACTGGGATGCATAATTTTCTGCTTAGGCCAAATATATTGCAGGTGTTTGATTGGTTGAAGGGGAAATATAATGGGAATTCTGATGTGATCAACTTCTATAAATTGGCATTATCCTCTGTGATTTATTATATATGGAAAGAGAGGATCAATAGGATTTTTGGGAACAATTCGCAATGCTATAATTCTTTACTTTTATGCATTAAAAGAGCTTTGTTTGATAAGATTGTGAAATGGAGAAATGCGATGAACTTTCTAGACAGACTGTAGGTTGTTTTCTCGACTTCTTTTCTTGCTCTTGTTGCCGTCTCGAGTATTAGCAGATATGCCCTCCTGGACAATGATGAAGCTCCCCACACATTCCCTTGGACGGTCCTTGGGCGACTAAGGGCAACCAGGGTAGTGAATGATCTGCTTTACTATTTCTATTATTCATGAGTCCAGGTTCTGCGGGCATGGGAGCTCTTTTAAGGCCCTTTGGTTGGTGTATTTTCTGAGATGAACCCAGGTGGATCACGACAATTTCGACTATTCTATGTCCAGGCACGGCTGCCGATGTGCTGCTGGACTATTTTTTGCTTTCCCTGTTCTTTATTGTATTACTGCTGAAGTTTATGGCATGAGAGCTAGGATTACTTGGTCTATGGTTGCAGGCATTGGTTTTTCGTGATGTCGATCAACTTTGTCTCTCCTTCAACCCGATCAGCTGCTGCTTGTCATCTAGTTCTTCTTTTTGTGCTCCTTACCACAGTTTTGATTCTTTTATAAAATTTAAATTGTACTGGGTAGTATAGTTGGGGTTTCTTATTCCTTTTGTCCCACATAAGTTTTTGTATTTGCTTATGTTGGGTAGTTTCTTTTTACCTGTAATCTTATTACCTGTAATCTTTTTATTACTTCTTAATATATGGGCCTAGGCCCCAAATTTCCCAAAAAAAAAAAAAAACAATGCTTCTATTGTCAAGTACAATGCATTGAGTCTATAAGCACATGAAGAAGCTATCAAATAAAATGCTTGCATGACCTGGCACTGAAGTAGTATCAACAAAAACACTGTAGTCCAAAAGGAGCAGGCAAACCAATCAGCTTGTTTATATTCCTCGGAAGTCTGCCCCTGCCGACAATGAAAGCAGAGTCAGAAATCTGGAGCGGATTAACTAATTAAAGAAGATGGGTTATTGGAATCACAGGCAGATTAAAGGGGTTGCATGGGAATTTCCTCGCTCTAATAAAAAAAAAAACTTTATAGAAAAATAAGCCTATTTCCGATAAGGGGCTGTTGAATAAAAAATAAATGGAATAAGACTATAGATAAAATAAATATAGTATATTAAATATGTATTTTTTATTGTTTAGTTGACTACAATATAAGTATATGATTTTAATTTTTTGATTGAGTTGAAGAAAAAATTAGTTGAGTATTGCGTCCTGGAGTATTCGCGGCGGTAGAGAAATATATAGTTTAACGTCTTAGCATTATACGAAGATCCAGCACACAATCAGATAAGTGAGAGGGTGTAGCGTTCATAAGAGACACAAGAGTTTTTAAGTGAAAAACTCCTGAAAAGGGGGAAAAACCACGGGGCCTAGCCCAGTTTGAATGAATCCACTAGTATTTGTAGTCGATTTTAAATGAGGCCTTCTTAGGGAGAAGGCATTGGCTTGATGTCACAAATGTACATCATATAGAATGTATTACATGGTGGGAGTTACAATAGATGTATTTGTTTTGTCAGCATGACCATAGTCGATAGGATGAAGGTCGGAAAGACCGTTGTCTGGTGATGGAGGTCGGAAGGATCATAGTAGGCGACGGAGGTCGGGAGGACCGTAGTCAGCAGGAGACCGGGGTTTGAGTGACCGTTGTCTGGTGATGGAGGTCGGAGTGGCCATAGTAGGCAACGAAGGTCAGGAGGACCGTAGTTGGCAGGAGACCGGGGTCTGAAAGATCGTTGTCTGTTGATGGAGGTCGGAAGGACCATAGTAGGCGACGGAGGTCGATAGGACCGTAGTCGGCAGGAGACCGGGATCTGAAAGACCGTTGTAGTAGGGCGATACTCTGGTAGATATGTCAGAGCCTTTGCTCGATGACATTAACCTGTGTGGAAGAGGTCGAGAGAATCCACCAAGGATGTAGGACCTATCCGAGGTTGTATGTCAGAGCACTGCTCGATGACGTTAACCTGTGTGGAAGAGGTCGAGAGAATCCACCAAGGATTTAGGACCTATCCGAGGTTGTATGTCAGAGCACCGCTCGATGACGTTAACCTGTGTCGAAGAGGTCAAGTCGAATCCCCCTGGGATTAATTTTTTCTTGATTGGGAGGGGACAAATGCCGCGTGTATTCCGAATCAAAGGTGAATAAGGGTCTATCTTTAGACCGTTACTGCCTTTTTGAGGTCAAGATTAAGAAATTGCCCAATGAGTAGAGGTCCATCAAGGGACTGTATAAAACATAGAAGTATACTTGCATTTGCTGAGATTTTTCTGAAACATCTTCTTGATATTGAAAGCATTGGAGGGATTTTCTTGATCATAATTTGAGTCAATGTTGCCCTCCAGTCCGCATCTGATTCTTATGATATTGATGTAGTTATGACTGATGTCAAGAAGTTGACAAGAATGTCCTTTTGAGATTGGAGAAAATATTTGCCCCCCAGTCGGGAACAAGTTTCTCACAGACGGCGCCAAACTGTTGCGTCCTGGAGTATTCACGGTGGTAGAGAAATATATGGTTTAACGTCTTAGCATTGTACGAAGATCCAGCACACAATCAGATAAGTGAGAGGGTGTAGCGTTCATAAGAGACACCAGAGTTTTTACGTGGAAAACCCCTGAAAAGGGGAAAAAACCACGGGGCCTGGCCCAGTTTGAATGAATCCACTAGTATTTGTAGTCGATTTTAAATGAGGCCTTCAGAGGGAGAAGGCCTTGACTTGATGTCACAAATGTACATCATATAGAATGTATTACATGGTGGGAGTTACAATAGATGTATTTGTTTTGTAAGCATGACCATAGTCGATAGGATGGAGGTCGGAAAGACCGTTGTCTGGTGATGGAGGTCGGAAGGACCATAGTAGGCGACGGAGGTCGGGAGGACCATAGTCAGCAGGAGACCGGGGTTTGAGTGACCGTTGTCTGGTGATTGAGGTCGGAGTGGCCATAATAGGCAACGGAAGTCGAGAGGACCGTAGTCGGTAGGAGACCGGGGTCTGAAAGACCGTTGTCTGTTGATGGAGGTCGGAAGGACTATAGTAAGCGACGGAGGTCGGTAGGACCGTAGTCGGCAGGAGACCGGGATTTGAAAGACCGTTGTAGTAGGGCGATACTCTGGTAGAACTCTAGGCATCAGGTAGTGGCCCAGTAGAAGTTCGAGCCTCAGGTGGTGTCCTGGTTGAGCACAGGGTCTCAAGTGGCTGTTCGGCGGAGCAACGACGTCAGGCGGTGATCCGATGGAGGTGAGGGCCTTCGGCGGTGGTCCGATGAAGGTGAGGGCCTCTGGCAAAGGTGAAGGCCTCTGACAAAGATGAGGGCATTTGGCGAAGGTGAGGGCCTCTGGCAAAGGTGAGGGCCTCTAGCAAAGGTGATGGCCTTTGGTGAAGTGAGGGCCTCAGGTGTTGGTGAGGGCCTTTGGCGAAGGTGAGTGCCTCTGGCGAAGGTGAGGGCCTCAGGCGGTGGTCCGGCGAGGCTCCGGCGGTGGTCTGGCGAGGCTCCGGCGGTGGTCCGGCGAGGTTCCGGCGGTGGTCGAGGAGGAGCTTCTTCCTTCTCTTCCTTATCTTCTCCTCTTCTCTTCTTGCTTGGATCCCCTTTCAAGAGAAATGAGGGGTCTATTTATAGATTTTCTAAAGTGGCATGCCCCGTAAATAGGTGAGAGATCAAGGGTAAATGGGGAGAGGTTGGATGGACTACCGATATTGAACCCCTTGATCATGGACCGTTCATCAGGCATTTGGAGGCCTTAGTGATTTCGGAATTCGGTGATCTTGGGCTCGTTGGATTCTTCTCGTCGAGCCGTTCGATTCGAGCATAAGCTCGTTAAAATCGAAGACCGTTTGGTAACAAATTGTGCTTCGAACCTTCCAACAGCACTTCGAGTCTTCGATTTAGACTCATTTGGGCTCGGATCGAGTTAAATTTGGTGTCGTTGGGTTCGTATTTCCGAGACGCTCTGTTTGACTATAAGTTTGCTGAAATCGGAGTTCGGGAGCTCCCAGATTTAATTTTTGAAGTTTTCGACTCCATTTTGCATCGAGATTCATGCCCGATCAAGATAATTTTTTGACGATGTATCAAGTATAAAACCTATAGTCATCAGTGGAGGCCGGAGGCCAAAAGATAGACAGTGATGATAGTCAACAGTAGTTGGTAGCGAGGGAAACTAATGGGAAGGGTGGTGAGCAACCATAGGCAAGTGATGGCAGAAGTGGAGGCAGTTGATAGAGGGCAATGGGTGGCAACCCAAAATCTGATCAGAAAAATTTTGGGTTCTCAACCCGTTTGACATACAGGTCAAGTTCGGGTTCAGCAAGTCGACCCACTTCAAAAATCGGGTCGGGTTTGGGTTGATCTGGGAACCCGAAAGTGACCCAGTTGACTCGTTTAGAAAACCCTAGGCGCAGCTGTTCCGCGGTTCCGCCTGTTCGTAAGCCTGCACAATGCACGTTACTCGATTTCCGCCAGGCACAGCCGCATCCGCCCTCCGTCGTTTGCTCACACAGCTCGCCCATTTATCTGAGTTCGCGAATTCCGTCGTCTGCCAGACCGAGGCTCCAGTTCCTTGCAAGCGCATCTGCATAGACCAGTGTACCCGCCACTGCGTTCGTTGTGCCCATCTCGGCCTCTGCAGTCTATCCGCACACCCTAAACTCTGCGCTCACAACTCCTCCAATATCCGCAGTCCGCACAGCTTGTCATTAGGTTCGCGGGTTAGGTCAAGTCAACCCAGTAACCCATGTGGGACGGGTCTGGGTTGGATTTCCTGACCCATTTGTAAAAATAGGTCAGGTAGGGTCAACCAGTTTAGACCCGAGTTAATCCGAGTTCGATTCAAACCCGACCTGCAGACCCATTTTGACACCTCTATTTCTACTATTCTACCTTCAATGGGTGTGCTCCTACCATAATTATTTCTTTATTTATCAAATTCTTATATATATATATATATAAAAGACAGACTTGCAGAATCTTGAGAGGGGTTGTTTATATCCTTTCCTTTGTATGATAGAGTTTTTATTCAGATATATGCATCTGAACAACTAAACCACATTAAAGTATATACGCTCTATGAACATGCAAATAAGAATTAATAACAACAACAAACTTTCAATTAATAACAACAACAACAACAACAACAACAACAAGCTTTCATCCCACTATGTAGGTCAACTACATAAACTCTTTTTCTCCATTGTGACTTGTTAAAAGTCGATATCTCATCTAAATCTAATACAGAAAGGTCATTTCAAATATTTTCTAACAAAGTTTTTTTTAGGTCTACCTCTACCTTTCTTAACAATAAGTCAAATCTAATACATCTACTTTCCTAACCGGATCATCGAAAGGCCGTCGTTTTTTGTGACCAAACCATCTTAGGCGACTCTCTATAATCTTATCTTCCACCAAAGCTACTCCAACTTTTTCATATATATATGCTCATTTTGTATCTTGTCTCTAAAAGTAAAGCCACTCATCCACCTGAGTATCCTCATATCTGCACACTTAACTTAATATTATGCTTATTTTTAATGGCCAAATTCTAAACCATAAAGCATTGCAAGTCTCATTACCATCTTATAGAATTTTTCCTCAAGTTAGAGAATGACTTTTCTATCATACAACAAGCCAGATGCATTCTTCCACTTCAACCATTCAACTTGAATTATACTAATAATATCCCAATCTATTTCACCGTCACTTTCAGCAATAGACCCAAGATATCTAAAATGTGTACTATTATTAATGACTTGATCGTCCAAAGTCACAATCCCTCCACTATATCTATTATTATCAAAATTGCACTCCATATATTCAGTTTTAGATCTACTCAAACAAAAGCCTTTAGACTCTAAGCTTGATCTCCATAATTCATGTTTACGTTCAACTCCCTCTCTAGTTTTATCAACAAGAAAAATATCATCAGCAAAAAGCATACACCATGGTACAACCTCTTGCAAATGTCTAGTGAGAACATCCATGACTAAAGCAAAAAGATATGGATTTAAGGTTGATCCTTTATGCAATCCACCTTAAATAGGAATATACTTGGTTAAATCACCTTGTGTTTGAACACAAGTAATAGCTCCTGCATAATATCCTTAATGACTTGAATATAAGCATTATTAACCTCTTATGTAGAACTCTCCGTAGCACTTCTCTTAAAACTTTATCATATGCTTTTTTTAAATCAATAAAAATCATATGCATATCCTCCTTATTCTCTCGATATTTCTCCAACAAACTTCTCAATAAATGTATAGCTTCCATAATAGACATAACTGGTATGAATCCAAATTGATTTTGAGAAACATTAGTTTTACGCCGCAACCTATGCTCCATAACTCTCTCCCATAGTTTTAAAGTACGACACATAAACTTAATTCCTCTATAATTCACATAAACTTGTGCATCACCTTTATTCTTAAAAATATGAATCAACACACTCATTCTCCACTCATCTGACATCCTATTAGTCTTCAAAATAATATTAAAAAGTTTAGTAAGCCAAGAAATTCCTTCATCTCCTAATCATTTCCACACCTCTATTGGAATATCATCGGATCCAATAGCTTTTCCAAACTTCATTTTCTTTAAAGCCTCTTTAACTTCAATTTTATTAATACACTGATAAAAACAAAAATCTTTATTTTTATTTAAGATACTAAGGTCACTAAAGTCAATCGCATTCTCACAATCTTCATTAAAAATTTTAGCAAAAAATATCATCCACCTTTATTGAATATCTTCTTCTAATAAAAGCACTTTTTGAACTTCATCCTTAATACACTTCACTTGAACTAAATCCTTATTACTCCAATCTCTTTGTTTAGCTAACTTATACATATATCTTTTGCCCTCCTTTGTATCTAATCTATAATATAAATTATTAAAAACTTAAATCTTTGCATTGAATATTATTTTCTTAGACTCCTTAGGGGTCTCTTTATACATCTTCCAATTATCAAAATTTTTACAACTAAATAAACTTTTTTTAACAAATCTTCTTACTTTTTATCTTTTCTTGCACATTTTAATCCAACACTAACTATTTTTATTATTAGTAGTTTTTCCCTTTGATACTCCAAGTACATCTTTTACAATATTCTTAATATCACCAACTACTTTTTCTCACATAATTTTAGCTTTCTTATGCACAGACAAAATCTTAAGAACTATAATTTTACTTTTAAAAATATTTTTATTAATATTCTAAACGAAGCCTAAGTTCAAGCAAAGGCACAACCCAAAAGGCAGCATATAAGAGGAACAATAAATAAGTGTGTATCCTATTGTTTAATCCACACAACAACAATATCAAGCCTTTATCCCACTACATAAGGTCGGCTACATGAATTTCTCTATTGTGTCCAGTTAAAAGTCAAATTCTCATTTAAATCTAATAAAAAAAGATCATTTCTAATATTCTCTAACCAAGTGCAATGATATATCTATATATATATAAACACACACACAAGTGTGGTAAAACTGGTTAGATCATGTGTACAGTCATTTTACAAAATAAGGCATGGAATCCTGTTCTTTTGAATTTTTAACATCAACACACCAGATCGCAATGATATGCAATAATCAAATAAGCGACTTAGTGAAAAAAAAAAAGATATCATAAAAAACAAAGAGATCAATTAGTGAAATCAAATCATATCCATTCTGAATCAGAAAATGTGAAATCACTGAAAAACGTCCATAAAATTAGTAAATTTGCAACTGATGAAATAAAGCTATGGATGAAGCATGTGATCATATATTAAGTCATTAACAAAGTCTAATATATGAAAATCAAATAGTCACTTAACTGACTTGCTGAAGCGCTGGTCAGTCTCCACCCTAAACTCTTTGGATTTAAGCACGCCAATCCTATATCCCAATACAATCATCAAACATTCAAACTCAGATGCGAATCCCAAGAACACAGCAATTAATACTAATAAACCAAATAAAGAAGGGATAGAGATCCCAAAGCTCAAAAAAAAAAAAAAGAAGCAAAATATGAGAAGGCAAATAGATCTCACCTCCAAATTCAAGAAAGCATTGCCCGGCAATCCACACTGGAACCACCAGCTCCAGTAAAATTAAAACCCACCTTTCACCAACAATGAAGAACGTCTGGCTGCACCCTGCCACATTTTAACAAACTTGTTCTCACAGCCCTCGTGCCACTATGATAGGAATCCAAAAGCAGTTCAATAAGTACACTAACTGATTGGCTGCCTCTGCAATATTTATTGGGGAAAGGAACTTCCACTAAACCCTAAGCCAGCTAGGCTTAGTTTGAGCTTGGCCAGCTTTTAATTTCAAATCAACAAGTCCAATATCTGAAACTTCAGAATCCAAAACCTTACTAAGGCTTTATTTGGGACGGCTTTCTTACTGTTTTTTAAAACAGCTTAGTATAAAAATTAAAATTTTTATACTTAAAAATTGCTTTAAGAAGCGGTAAAAAAACCTTCCCAAACGAAGCCTAAATTTCACAACAACAGTTGTTAAGAATCAGTTAATTTTCAAAACCGATTTCCCTAAGTTTCAAAAAATGAAAAATCTCATTATTCAAATTAATTATAGATACAGAAGAAACCAAAATGTGTTACACAAGCAAGCTTCCATTATTCCAGAATTTCATCATGACTTGATCATACTTCATGAAATGAAACTCCAAGCAGTTCTTTAAATCAAAGCTGTGATAAAGATGCTGCATGAGAAAATTGTTATTTTATTGTTGCTCCGCATAAAAATATTACAATAAACACAATGGAGTAAAACTACGGAGTACAACTGACTGCATTTTGGTGAAGACTGTCATGACCATTGCACCAAGGGCTGTAAAGGTCTCAATTGTTAGGTGAAATGATTGTCATCTCTACAATCTCTATTGAAATTAACATAAAGGTACTCTCCAATAAATACAAAGAAACATTGATGATAGTTAGAGGGAGGCGTCAGTGGCTCAAAAAGATAATGGCCACCAAAAGGAGACAGAAAGCTACTTCGGGATGGGTAACTAAGTTACGCCCAAAACTGATTCAGAACAAAAAAAACAATTAAAACCGTTCTGTATTGAGAGTAGAGAACTGCTCTGTTTTAGGAGAACGATGCTCTCGGTTAATTAGAGAGGTAACCAGAAAAACAAAACCTCTAGAGAAGCATGGAGAGTGAACTTTAATTGATGTGGGAGAAGGATCGAGGAAAGGTTTGCATGTGAGATGACATCGTTTACACGGGTAATGAGTATTATAGCAAGCGGTGGATACGAAGTGAGCAGGGATTCGGGATGGGTTTTGGATTTCAGCAGATATATATATATATATATATATATATATATATATATATATATATATATATATAGGATTTTGTACAGAGGTCAACACATATTAGTTCATAAAAATTCCATTTTTATCAACAATTGGCAAGAATAGTTGAGTAAAACATATAAATTTTGTTTAAAAAAATCTATTGATGGAAATTTGAAAGTTTGCTCTCATCAAAAAATACAAATTGGATGTGTTTAGATGAAAAAATTTAGAATCTAAGCAATGTTTTAATATTTGGTACGCTTTAGTTATTTTATTTAGATATCATTAGGTTTTACATTAGTTTATTTTAGTATAAACATGCCTATGTTGATCCCTATCCAAAAAGTGTTGTGTTCTCTAATCATTATGTAGGTTTTTTTGGTCGTTTTAACTCTTTGACCCCTAAGCAAATAAATAAAACTATAAGTAGGACATCTAAAAATCTTATTTCATTATCAAACACACATGTATGTCATGCATGCACATGCATAATTCTATGTACAATACGTGTTTAAGTCCTATATAACTCATCTAACTTAAAATTTTGTTCAGCAATCAATGAGTTATGTCCCACATTCCCTATTTATTACTACAAAAAATAAAAAATAAAAAACCTTCAAATAACTTAAGGCAACAGATGGATAGTAGAAGCCCTTACTACATTGACATCAAAGCCCGAAATCCTCTATATACTGTATTAACCGCGTATAATAAATGAATTATAAATAGATCATGTGTCGCAATGGAGTCGTGCATCAAAAATTGAGGGGAAAAGGATTAGCTGAGAAATTAGCAACAATAATGAAGTCGGAGAATAGCATGAGAGGATTGTTACAATCCTGATAAGATGCCTTAGATCACCAAACAAAAAATCTATGAATCACCCAGCATTCACCCTTTGTGCCATAGTACTGAAGCCATCATAAGGGTATCCACTGAAACCTAGCAACAGTAAAACATGATCTATAACTGAAATTAAGTAATTCATTTTCCTTCAAAGATCAAATTTCTTCTTCCCTTTCTCTAATTCATTTCTTTTCTGATCTGCAATCTACAAGTCACATTTTGTAATTTGTACTTTATAATCATGAATCAGTCATAATTTTTGTCAACAGTCATCCTAATTCTAGTTTGAACTCTGATATCAATTAATCCAGCAATCTAAAATTCTGTCTCGCACACAATTTCTACATAAAAGTAAGCATGAGAAGAATATGAAAAGTGCATGATGTTGAAGATTCATTGAAAATGTTTACATTTTGATATGGCCTGCAGAGTTTTCATGTTTAAAACAAAATTCAATCCATCGACATATCTTTGGTTCTAAGTTATTGTGCTAACGGGTAAACCATTATTCATAACTTGAGCATATTTTAATTCTAGAGTATAATGCTTTTCTAGAAGACTAGAATGTTCTAAGTACTCCAATATCTGAGACTCACAACATAGATTTGAAGCTCTACTCAATAGCTCTATCCACATGAAGATCGTTAGAAGGAAAATAAATGATTTCAACATAAATGGTGGGAAGGATTATTGTAATGCATCAAAAAGTCAATGCTAATTTGTACAGAACAATCTTTAGCTAAGCCAAAAATTTCAAATAATTCCAATATAACATACCTTCTGTATATACCATCTGATTATCTGATTGCAGCCATCCAAAGCCTTCATTCAGAACATTAGCATCTTAAACAGCAGTAGAAATAGCTTTGTCACAAATATTTAGGGTCAATTTCATAAATTCTCAATCTCCATTTGTTCTTGGTTACTGAAACATGATGTGTTAAAACTATTATATACACATCTTAAGGGTGTATTTTTTTAACCTTTATTCTCACACTTTTCAATTACTTATGTTCAACAGAAATTTTAGCTACTGCATTTACATAACATACCTCCCATAGAATATTTTAGATCCTGCATAAAAAACAGAAGAACTGTGACAATCATATCCAATCAAAAAATGTCATAGGTTTCCCCTAATCATTGGATGATTCATAAAATGATTCTCTACAAACCAGAGAAATACATAAACTACAATAAAGTAGAGCAAAAACTATAAACTATCAAGTATGGTTGAACTGGAATTTATGTAGTTATCACTCTTACTACATTCTCTTCTCCTCACAGCTCACATCCTTCTTGTGCATCACAAACAAAATCTGATGTACAGAGTTGAAAAATTATGTTAATTACCATGAAGTTGAGTTTAGCTTTTTCAAGTCCCCTTGACAAAAACAAAATTTATTAGTATGATAAAAGAACTTGAGTATAAAAGTATCACGGAGTTCAAACCATATGCGGTGATAAACAATTCTGAAGAACGACAAGAATTTGCTAGAAAGGCAATGTATCAGAGCTCACTGCAGTGCATAAGCTCGTGAAAGGGATCACTGCTCTCTAACTGCCTAGATATCGCCTCCCTTCTCTTTGCTCTCTCCTGAAAATGCCACTGCAGCAGCTTCCTTTCCAGCAATTACCTCGTCATCTTGCCGGTAGGAACCATAAAACCTTACTCATTTCAACAGAGGTTGTCAAACCCCTCTCTTCTGCTCTCTACATAATCACAATCCCACAAGACATCCTCCCTTCTTGATGCGACCCGTTGTGTCACACACATTCTCGATGTCACCTGCCTCCACTCACACGCCGAACACCAAGACATTCCTTTAGAGACTCATCCATAGGAGCCGCAGATCTTACCTTCCCACATAATGGATCACAGAGGAAACCTCTTCCACCCTGTCAACACCATCAATGCTGCAATTTTTGTACTTCACAGGCACATCTTTAATTAAATTATATGTACTAAACACAAGAAAGTGATACCAGACAATAGTATGCAATGGCTGTTAAATGCATCTTTAAGGAGTGATAAGAGTAAAAAAATAATCTGCATAAAGATGGAAGGCAATAAAAGATAATTGTATAATATAAATTTAATTTATTTTAAAAAGGTGAACTTGAGCTCGCTTTTGATATAGATGCACTGATAAAAATGCAATAAGAACAAAAGTTTAGGTCCCAATAAGATATCTATCAAGATTTGGAGAATAATGAGATCTATTAATATAATATAATTTGTGAATCATTTTAAGGAAATTCAAAAGAATATGTTAAATAATTAGAGAAGTGTTTAATATTAGCATAAAAAAAAAGAGTTCAGGATAATGTGAAATGCAGGGAAATCACAGTTATTAGTTAGTCATAAAATGAAATTATGAGAGAACAAACCAAGTGAACAACTTTTTCCTGCCAACCATAATGCATAATTAAACCACATAAGTTTATTTTTCACTAAATTATCTTCAATAGCTACTAGGCCTTCAATTTCTTTAATATTATTAATCCTCACTCCATCCCTGTGAGTTTAATCACATATCTTAACATTATTGTTTTTCATATTCTGGTTATTAGTAACTTCTTTTTTGCCCAACACTCAGATTAATATAAAGCATTACACAATCCATCCAATTATATTTGGATAAAAATATAATTAGCGCCAACAAAATTATTGTCACATAGCATTCTTGAGGCCCTTCTTCATTTTAACTATTCAAATTTTAAACTTTTGAAGTTATATAATCATTCAGATTTGTATAAATAATATATCTAAAATACATAGATTTATCACATCTATATATCACCATCTTCAAACAAAATTAAATTATAATTATCAATTTTGCACCAATTTAAACTACATATCATATATCTAGCCTTTGTTACATAAAATTTAAGCGCATATCTTCTATGAGTTCATCTACTATTTTGAATTTTTATTTTTTTCAAAAGACGTCTCATTTGTCAAAAGTCAGACAATCAAAAAAGAACTTAGTCCTATTCTATAATGTTGACTCAATAATTAGCTGGTGTTCAACTAGTTTTCATAAATTAAATTATAGATTAATGCATATATGCATAAAAATATATATATTCCATAATTTCTAATAAGACTTTCACAAAGCCTTCAAATTTCTGAACAATACTTGTTCAGCTCGATAACTA